GTCCCAGGGCCCAGGCTCTGCGCAGCGCGGCCTGCAGGCAGGGAACGCCCATGTGCGGCGGGTGCGGACGCGGCCAGGCCCCGGCGACCTGGCCTCCGCCTCCTCGGCCCTTCCCCTTGCCCGCCCCGGGCGCTGCGCTCGGGAGTCGGGCTCCCGCCTCGCAGGGACCCGAGGGCTGCGCCTGCCCACCCCCCACGGCGCGGCGGACGCACGCGAGACCGACCACGTGGGCGAGGGCAGCGCGGCCGCGCGCGCACCGGACGGCGGCCGGGAGCGGACAAACGTCCGGGGGAGGGTGGCGCTTCCCTCGAGCCGCGCAGCCGCGCACGGCTAGGGCGCCGGGGAGCCTCGGTGACGCCGGCGCCTCCAGCGGTGACTGGGCTGCAGCACCCGAGGCCTCAGGCTGACCCCTTTGTCCGGTCAGCGAGCACGCGCGCCATCCTCGAACCCTTCGCTGGGGGCCGGGGACCCAACGTGTGCTCCGGACAGGCGGTGGCGGCTAGCTGCGCACTTGGGAACCGCCGTGCAGTCCTGTGCCGACCCAAAACAGAGGCAGCGGAGCAGTGACTCACCCTGGGCGGCGGCCAAATTCGCAGTACACCGGGGCCTGGTCCTGCCCGGCAAGCGCTGCCACACCGAGCTGCACCGCGGACCCCCACTGCCACCCACTGCCTCTGCCAGCTCCTCGCTCCAGCAGGGATGGCACAACCGACGACACATGACTCCTCGCCCAGCGTCTCTGGCTCGCGGGAGAGATTTTCTCCCGTGGGAAGCTGGCTGCATTACTTTCACTCTCAAACCCCAGGACGCCCGAGTCCAGACAAGCAGGCGCGTGGGGCTCTGCTGCAGGCTGTCCTTGCTCCCGGCTGGGCCCGCGTCTGACAGCATCCTCATTCTGCGGTCCTTTACCTCTCCACGTCCATCTTTACATCTCCCTTCAACCCTCTTTTCTCCTCCTGCTCTGTGAAGTCTCACACCTCACCAGTCTGGAATTGTGGCAGTAGGGGTAAGCTTGTTCCAGGCTGTGGGCAGGCACTGCAAAGGCACTGGGGCAGGAGAGTGTAAACCAGCTGTGGGTAGATGCTTGCAGCTGGGCATCCACCCGGGGTCTGCAATTAGAGAAGCCACAAGGCTGCCTGCCCCATAATGGAAGAGTGGTGGGGACAAGTCAGGAGCCAGGAGTCAGAATGCTATGCAGCTAACAGGCCACAGGGCCAGGGCTAGGCTTGCTGGGTGAAAGATCAAAGAACATCAAGCCACCCTGCCAGCATGCTGCCCCACCTTGTCTCAATGAGGGAAGACTGAGGCAGCATCCAAGGGCTCAGAACAGGCTGCCCCTCCTGCCTGAGCCCCACCTCGTCACACCTGCCCAGCAGCATGTGCCTAGAGGTGAGTGATGCTTAAAGGACTGTCGTTTGGAACCAGTGAGCCACTGCAGCTGGCTGCCAGGGCTGGGGAGGTGTGAGCAGGCACTACACACGTCACCACACACCTGTGAAAACCAGTGACTGTGCAAACCCCAGGGCAAGCATACCACAGCCGACACACGCGTTGGCCGCCAGGAGGCCAGTGGGAGAAAAGCTGGGGTTCTCTGCACTTCTCGTTCAAGTGCTCAGTAAGACCTAGAACTGCTGTAAGGCATGGTCTGCTAAGGCAGCACGGAGTGCCACGAGTGAGACCCCACTTTGGGGACGGCCCCAGCTGCTGAGACCACACCACGTGCTCTGGCACTCAGTGTGGAGCCAGCCCCTCCGTGTACTCTTCTCAAGTTCTTGCCCTGCAGGAAGTTTTAAGTTTGGCCTTTCCAGTCATTTCATTTTTTCATCTTCTAATTTAGCATTAGTCTTATCTCGGGCTGGCAAGGTAGCTCAGTGGCCTAAAGTGCCTGCTTAGGCAAGCATGCAGGGGACTCAGTTCAACCCCAGCACCACATGCCTTGCCAGCCCTGACCCCAGGGCAGGCTGAGCTGACCATGAAAAAAATAAAGGAAAATTTTTTTTAAAATTATCTTTTAAATAAAAATATTAGTTTAAAAACACAAGCTGTGCAATACAATAAAAATGCAAATCAGCCTAGTGCTAGTGGCTTAAGCCTCCCGGAGAGGCTAAGACAGAAGAAACCAAACGTTTTAGCCCAGCTGGGGAATGTGGCAACATAGTGAGATCCTCTGCCAAAACACAAAGGAGTGGGGATGTAACTCAGTGGGAAAGCATTGGGTTCAGACCCATCACACGAGAAGCAAACAAAAGCAGGTGAAGGCAGTCACAATCAGATCACTTGTTAAGTGTCAGAGGACTTAGACCAAGGTGGTCTTGAGGCAGTGCCTGTCACCCCAGCTTTTTTTTTTTTTTTGGCAGAACCGGGGATTGAACTCAGGTCCTTGCACTTGCCAGGCAAATGCTTATTCCACTGAGCTATCTCCGCAGCCCCACCCCAGCTACTCCTAAGGCAGAGGTGGGGGAACCTTGGGCCTGGGGATTTGCAGGCAGGCAACACAGGACAGAGGCCTGGAGTCTTCAGAAGCAAAGGTGGCAATGGAGACAAGGATCCCGCTACCAGAGGACACCGCATATGCCCTGCAAATGGCCAGACTGACTTGTGAGGGACGTGGGAGTTCTTGGGACCCTCCTCCTGCCCCCACAGCATCGCTGAGAAGCAAGCAGGCGGTGTGGCTGAGGCCAGCACTGCAGGGCTGAGGCGGGACGAGTTTAGAGCCAGTACAGTGGAAGCTCTTGAGTTCAGGCCTCAAGCAGGTGGCTGTGGCACTGCCTGCCCTTTCAGCCGGTCCCTGTTGGCCCAGGGCTGTATGCTGGACTAGAGCACATTAATGAATACCAACTGCCCCTCCTCACGAAGCCCCAGCTGTCACTCTGGGGTTTGCTCAGTGCTAGCGCTGGGCCGGCCGCCATGGCCACAGTGGGGATGCAAGGGTTCCATGATGCTGCGGGGCCGCCAGCTGCTGTGTCCAGACCTAGGCAGAGAGAGGGCACAGGACGGCAAGGGTAGGGGCAGGCCAACCAGGACGAGCTGCAACACAGTCAACAATTCCAAAGGTTTATTCCCGCGTCACACAACAGGATGGGGATTCACACAGAATGCAGTCGCGACAGCTGAACTTGATTGTGAACAGCAGGAGCTGCTCCCAACACAGCCACCACACATCCAGCAGCCACCGGGACGTCAGGGGACAGGTGCTTCCTGCAGTCTCCCATAGCCCAGGTGTCTATCAGCCACAAAGTAATAAATATGAAGGTCACATGCAGCAGGGTGAGTCGCAGAGCAGACCCTCCAGGGACCTGTGTTGTATCCCAGCTCAGTGGCACTACTTCAAGTATCACAAAGAAAACACGTGTTCTGTGTGGCATATGATCTTTGGGTCGGCTCATGGGCACCGCAGACCCATATGCCCTCCTGCAGGAATTTGTGGATACATTCAAGTAGGTCTGGGCAGGGCTATGCTGGGTTATGGACCAGGGTACCCAGCATATGCCCACCTCAGATGAAATCTGTGGCCTTGGTGGCCGCCTGGCACAAGAACGGCAAAGCTCAATGCATTCTGCATTATGGGTATTTCCTTGTTGCACAGAAAACCCACCCTGACCTGCCTATCTTGTCTAGCTGGGGAAGGCAACAGCATGGCCCGACCTGCAGGGCATGGGGCAGCCAGTACTTGGACACGGACACACACACACACACACACACACACTCACTCTCTCTCTCCAGGTGGCAGGCCTCATACATGCAACCAGACTGGAGCCTCCTGCTGCCACTGTCCAGCACACACAGCTGAGTCCAGGCCTGCCCCAACCATCCCACCCTCCCAAGCAACATGAAACACCTAAAGGGTTGCTTCTAAAAGAATGAGCTGCAGAAAAATAAGACACATTTTTAGAAGAGTGAAAAGTTACATCTGTTCTGAGTCTAGAAAGCACAGGTGTTTCACCGTCCCTAGGAAAACATTAAATACAAGGGCCACTGCTCCTGTGGACACAGAAGCCACACTGATGCCCCCAGAGGCACACACATGGGTCTCTGTATAGGTATACATGTATGTACACATGGACACGGGGGCTCTGTATAGGTATACACATGTATGTACACATGTACACACAGGGCTATGTACAGGTATACACACGTGAACATGTACAACTGAGAGGAGACAGCTCCCCGTCGCTTGTATGGGGACGGCACTGAGGCTGGGTTCTGTCTGCATAAAGTGCTTGGTGATTTACAAAGCTGAGTGGGGGTCAAGGGGACAGGTTCCCAGAGGGCTGTGGGCCCGAGGTCATGCCCCTTCTTGGGAGCCATGGGCAGTGACCCGGAAGAGTTCGCTTTGGCTTAGAGTCAGCGACACCAGCCCAGGGCCCGCCTGTCTTCAGCATTGCCCTGGGCACAGGGGCGGCAGTGCGGCTGCACGCCTGCTCACCAGCTCCCAGCACCAGCACAAGTGGGAAGCGCCCGAGAGGATGCAGCGCAGCCCACAGCAGGAAGAAACCAGCACGCAGGACGTGGTGCCGCCTGCGACGGCCCCACCAGGACCCAGGCAGCTGCTCAGCACCAGGGATCAGGGCCAAGGCTGGCAGGCCGGCCACCATCCAGCAGCGCGTGGAGCCCCCTGCAGGGCTCACCAGCAACCCGTCAGGCACAGACACCAGAGAGCAGCGCTGAGAGTCTCCGCTCGATGCACAGCTTGCCTGTGGGAAAAAGGTGTGTGGGCTGGAGGTGGGGAGGACCACCTCACCCCCACAGGCCCAGCAAGAGGAACTCACATTTGGTGATGTTCTCGATGTCGGCCTGGTCCGTGAGCATGTGCTGCAGCCCCTCCAGGAGCAGCAGGGCCTTGTGGTAGCGTGGCACGCAGCCCTCGTGGTGCTGGAACATCTCATCCAGGGCAGCCGACTGCACCTGCAGACAGGGCAGAGCTGAGTGTGGCAAGGGCTGACAGCCACAATGGGCAGCCCTGGTGGCACCACTGTGCCTGTGCAAGGACAGGTGTGCAGGTGCCAGGGTCACTGGCCTGCACAGCCCAGGCTGGATCAGAAACAGCTGGCACACCCCAGGTGGAGGGACAGAGCTGGCTGTACGACAGAGACCCACTCAGAACTCAGGCAGTGTCACAGCTGCACAGGGGCCAGGGCAGGGCTGTGGGCAGCTGATGCCCGGGCTTCTGTCCACCCGGGACCTACTGCTGTATGCCAACTATCTCCAGGCCTGGCTGGTCCCGGAGGTCTGGAAGCTGCCGTCAGCTTGGCTGGGGTGACAGTCTACCAGCCATGTGTGGGAGGACCCTGCCTGTGGCTCCCCCAGTACCATCTGCACAGCGTGGCTGAGGATGAGCCTTTCGGCGGTGACGCTGTGGATGCCGCCCAGCAGCCGCTGCTTGTCCAGGAAGAAGCGCTGCAGCCGCAGGCTCAGGCCCTGGCAGGACGTCACACTGGCCTTATACAGCTCGTTCAGCTTGCGCACCACTGTGGGAGGGCTCAGTTAGCTCCTTGTCTAGTGGGCCCGGCTCGGCGTCCCGCCGAGGGCCCTACGCTGCGCCCCATGGCCCTGCAGCTCCCCTGCAGCCCTCACCCTGCTTCACAGTGGACGACAGGCACAGCTTGCCAGCCCGGATCTGGTCAATGGCCGTCTGCAGGCCTGAGGACAGCAGCTCAGCCACCTTTAGGTACAGCACCAGCTGCTCTGCAAAACTGCAGGGAGGGTGGTAGAGGTCAGGAGGTGGTGCCTACCTGGCAGGCCCAACCCCAGGGACACGTACCCCCACTCGCGGCTCAGCAGGCTGATCTGGTCAGCCACCATGCTCTCCTGCAGCTGGTACTCTGCGCCCACGGTCGCCTCGCTGGCACTGCCCTTCAGGGCCGCGATCTCCAGCACGTGCTGCACAAACACCAGCGTGAAGCGCAGGCTGTGCAGGATCTCCGTGTGTTCTTGCTGGGGCGCAGAGGCAGGTGTTGGGGTGGGTGGCAGGCGACCTTAGGAGCTCCCAGCCCAGGGATCCTTGCCCTTTACCACCCCCAGGCCAGCCTCACCTCCATAAGGGTCTCCTCGGGGAGGTCAGGGGCTTCAAAGGTTATAGCCCCATCCAGGTGGGCAGACAGGGGGTCACCAGTGCTGCAGCAGTGGCCTGGGGCAGTGAATTCGGGGGCAGCCTCGCCACAGGCCCCAGGCATTAGGTGGCGGGCAGAGGAAGAGCCAGCAGAGCCCACTGTGGGAGACAGTGATGAGGGGTCCTGCCTACACCCCTCCCTCACATGGAGAGCAGCCCTGGACTCCAAAGCTTACTCTTGCCTCAGTTTACCTTTTGGTAAGACCACAAAGACCAGGTCCCTAGCCCCATCCAGCCCTGCACACAAGAAGCTCAGTGTGCCTGAACCAAGGGCCTGGCCAACAAAGTACAGGCTTTCAGGCCAGTGAGACAAAGAGGCTGGCATCTTGCACAGGGGCTTATATCCCAGGGAGACCTCTGTCCCTGAATCATTGCAGGGATCCCCCACTGCCCGACTGGCACAGGGTTTTTATCCTTCTCAAGCCTGGGAGCAACTGCGGACGCCTGGCCCAGCCTCACCTGAAAACACCCGAGCACGGGGCCCCAGGGGTGGTGTAGTTCCACTAGGGGGCGAGCCCACTGTGAACACCACAGGGGCAGGGCTGCTGGCACCTCCAGCACGGGCTCCTGGGTGCAGGTTTCCCCCAAAGGCAGCAGAGGGTCCTGGGAGAGAGAGGGAGGGTCAGGGTCTGCTCGGGGCTGACCACACACAGCTGCCCCAGCCAGCCCTGGCGCACCGATCTCCATGGGCTTTTCCTGCAGGCTGTCCGAGCTGCCCGAGTCTGAGGCCTGCGGCCCAAATGCAGCCTTGAGGAGCAGGTCAGTGAGGCGGCTGGTGCTGAACGACCTAGGGGAAGAATGGCACTTCAGTACCAGACCTCGGCTCTCCACTGACACCCCATCTCAGCTCGCCTCCAGCAAGCACAAGAGCCAGCTAGCTGTGGGCCAGCTCCCCAGAACCACCGGTAGCTACAGAACAAGACCTGCCGCCCACCTCCCGCCTGTCCCACTCACCGGCCAAAGGGGCCCCTGGTGTCCTCTGGCCTTAGGCCAGAGCCCAGCTGCTGTCCCTGGAAGGGCCCCACCTCCGAGAAGTCAGGCAGTGTCCGGTTCCGGGGGGGTGTCACCACCACACCCTGCCGAGCCAGCAGAGCCAACAGGTTCGGGGAGCTAGGGACCTTGGGGAAGTCGAAGGTGGGCATGGCCTGGAAGCGGGGGGAGCGACACCCAAATTGCCGAAGCCTATGTGCATGTTGCTGACACCCTCACACGGGACAGGGGTGGGTCTGGGGACTGCTCTGGGGACAAGGAAATGTGGCTGCCCACAAGGTGGCAGCCTGGCTTCCAACAACCTTAGAAAGGAAAAGTCCCACACCAATGCCACATGCCACAAGGACAGTCTCAAAAGGGTGGCCTGTGGGCCTCAGCATGGAGGACTGGCCAGGGAACCCATCCTGATACCATCCCCAGGGAGCCAGACCTACAGCCCATGGCCATACGCTGGGACCTATGGGCCACAGCCATGCTAGGAATGAGGTCCAAACAGGCAGCAAGAAGCATGATCTGGTCCCCTCTAGGGGCTTGGGGCTCCCAAGAGCTTTACCTTGGTGGGGGAGCCCAGGATGGGGGGCAGGGGGTTCCGCTGCAGGAAGTCCGGAAGCTTGGGTGAGCCACGCAGGGGCCGGCAAGACTGCAGCACAGGGGCAGCTGGGCAGGGGCCAGGCTGTGGGGGGCTGAAGGCAGTTCCCAAGGGGTCCGTCGGGGGCTTGGGCAGCTTGGGGCGGACGACATGCAGGTCCGACAGGTTGGGGGCGCTGTGCAGGCGGCAGCCCAGACCCGGAGTGCGGGGGGAGTGCTCAGGCACAGAGGAGCCTGGGAACAGGACAGGTTTATCACCAGGCTTCTGGGGAACAGACGGGGCCACCAGACCACCATCATCCTGCTTGGGGCTCGGGAGCCCCATACCCTTCCAGCCAAGACACCCTAACACAGCAGCACCTACCTGGTCGTGGTGACCTGCTAGCCCGCACCTCGGCTCCCTGTGGGGAGGGTGCCCTGTTCCAGCCAGGCCGCTCAGGGATGGTTCCGACTGGGAGAGCAGGTTCCAGGGTCAGAGTCGGCAGACACAGAGATCTGCAGTGCCCATCCCACCCTCCAGACCTGAAACTGCACTCACCCTGTGGGGATGGTGTGTAGGGTCGGCCCCCACCCAGAGACAACTTCCTGGCAAGGATAGTGCCATCAGCATGGGATGGGGGTGATGGGCTGGCCCGGGCAAAGCCCAGGGGGCTGGTGCCTCCCGACCTGCGGCTGGCAGAGGACCTGTAGACAAGGCAGGCAGTGTGAGGCCTTAGGACCCAGGCCACACCAAGTGAGGGCCACAGGGTGCCTTTGGGCGCTCCCCACACGGCTGGGAGCCTGAGAGCTGGCTGTGCCAGACCAGGGCACTCACCGGGGGGTGTGGTGCTGGCTGGGCAGCTGCAGGTTCTGCTCAATGCGCTGGTAGTTGTGCACCTGAGTGGGGACGGGGATGGGGACAGACGCGCCATACCTGCTGCTGGAAAAGGTGCCAGCCCGGCTGCAGGGGAAGACGAAGGCTCACAGGAGCCCCAGAGGAGGAGGCACCCAGGGCGTGTTATGTCAACACCTCCAGGTGTCCCCACCACACCTCAGGGTGCAGACAGGAGAACTCCATGGGACCACCCACATGTATGTACTAGAAAGGGCACTACCCACAGGATGCCCGCCTGCCCACCCAGCAGCCATACCCTGCTTACCCTGAGGGGCTGGGGGAGCTACTGCAGGGTGGGGAAGGGGACGGTGTCCGACCATGGCTCTCCAGCCCTGCAGAGGCCACCAGTGAACTCCTGCAGGTAGAGGGGACAGACGTTGCCCTGGGGTACCAGCCCTTCCTCACCTCCCCAGGCAGGGGCGCACCAGCTGCCCTGAAAGCCCTTGATGCTCACCCACTACAGAGCAGGCTATCAGGCGGGGGCTTGGCACAGGCCCCCTCAGCCACCAGGTCACCTGTGGAGATACGAAATCTGGCCAGGTGACCGCGCCCTCCAGAGCCCACTGTGCCACAGGACTGCAGGCCTGAGTTCCACCTGCACTTCCCAGATGGGGCTCCCAAAGGAAAATGACCTGAACACACGGCCACACTCCGCAGCTCTCTGCTGGGACACCCCCTTCACTTGTCCTCACCAGCTCCAGGGCAGCAGGGAGACAAGCCCCCACCCCGGGAGCCTACCCCATAAGGCCAGCTCCCACTGGCTGTCCCTCTCCACCTTGGAGCTGTGGCAGGGCAGGCCCTATCTAGAGATATGAGGCCATGGACACCGTGGACCAAGCTGAATCAGGAAGGGAATCAGGTAGGCCCTGTCCTCAGGGCCCAGGGACAGCACAGTGGAGGCAGGGCCGTGGCAGAAGGGGGTGGGTAGCCTGCCTCCCGAGAGGGACCACACTTCCTGCTGCCCTGACCTGGGAACTGAGCAGGGACCATGACAAAGTCGTCAGTGTCACAGGAGTCCTTGCTGCTGCCGCCCGAATCCCGAGAGCCGTGCAAGAAGGCATCAGCTGGGGAGGTCAGTGTCTTCTGCAGCGGTGCCATCTCCCCCAGAGACTAGAGGGTGGCAGAACCCAGTGCTCACAGTAAGACGGGCTCTCTGCAGAACTCCCCTGGGGCCACCATGCCCAGCCCAAGGGCCAAGACCTGGCCTTACCGGAGGGGAAGCCAGGTGTGAGGTGGAGCTGCTGCTGGAGCTGCTACCCGACCCGGAGCTGGGGTAAGAGGGCACAGGCACGGGCGGAGCTACAGAAGGGCAGGCCACGGGACGTGTCAGCCTCGTGCCATAGGTGGCAGCTGCCGAGAAAGCCACTGGAGGTGGCCACTTCCCAAGGTAGGTGCCCTCAAGCATCACCCGTGACAGCTCCCAGCGCTCTAGGTGGACCAGATGGGGCTAAGCACGCGCCCCCGCCAGCCATGAGCTGACCCTGACCACACTGGCCCTCAGAGCCCTGGCAGTCATCACCTAGTCAGGCGCCAGTGCCAAGCACCAAGTGGCATCACCCCAAACCCAAACCTCCACACCAGGTCACTTCCACCCAGCAGGAGGTGCCTCAGCCAACGGCAGTAGGCAAGGCCCATCTTCCTCCTGCCCCAACTCACACTTCTTAATGGAGGTGCTGGTGTCCAGGAAAGGGTGGTGGAAGAACTCATCTGTGGGAGAAAGGCAGCCTCACACACCACGGAGCCCGGCCCTGGGAGCCCCTCGCCCAGCCTGACCAACCTGAGGGAGGGCGCCCGGGCTGTGGCCCTGCAGCTGGGCGCCCCCACCCACCCAGGGCCTGGGGAAGGCGCCCGGGCTGTGGCCCTGCAGCTGGGCGCCCCCACC